AAGGAGAAGGCCCCCCGAGCACAGATGAGGCATCGGGCATCTGATGGGGGGGACAGTGGATGCTCCTGCTCTGGCTGTGCCCGTCTGAGGCACCAGCATGTTTGGGGTCACTGTCCAGGACAGAGATGTCCCAGCTTCTGGCTCAGGAGCAAGATCCACTGTCTCTCATTCTAAGCAGAGCCAGGGAATCTCAGTGGGGATCCCAGGGTCCTCCCTGCCTCTCTGCAGAAGCCCAAGAGCAGCTTCCATGGCCACTTCCCACCTCTCCAGGGCCCATTCCACAGTCCTGGGACAACAGGCCTTCATCTAAGGCTCCCTGGAATCCAGGACTGACGGTGGCCTTCTCCTGGGGATTGGGCAGGCAGGTCGCAGGTATGGGGGGGCTGTGTGTTCCCCTAAGGTGCTAAGAAGTTGTCAGGACAAAAATACCCTTCTTGCCCCCAGCATGATTTGACAGGGGAAAGGAAGCTGAAGCAACACCTGCTGGCCAGCTTCCAACAACGTGGGCAGCCAGCAAGGCCAATCAGCAGACGACTGGGTTTTTCCAGACTAGTGCCCCTCAACCAACACCTGGCAACTCCCCCAAACCAACACCTGCAGAAGTTCCTCAGCTCTGTCCAAAATGCCTGCCCTTCTGGGCCTGGGGCCTCACCGCCAACACTTGGCTTACGCAGCTTCAGCCTTTCAGGAACCACCTCGGGTGGCAGACTCACCTCTCCCTTGTCCAGGCCATCCAAAAGCTGGGGCACCAAGCCCAGTGTAGCTGACCAGCCAGGCTGTCTGTGGACTGCAGAGATGCTGGAGAGGCCAATGCCCTTTTAACCTCCCCAGGTGCCAAGTTCACTTAGAGCAGGGGTTCCTACCTTGGGGTCTGTGACTTTCTTAAATTGCTCACAGTTTTTGCATGTGGGTGGCTCTGTGTCTGGGTCGGGGCTGCATAACCTTCCCCATATTCTCAGAGTTGAGGATTCCTGCTCTGTGGAATCAGGAGATAGCCCATGTGCCCCCAGGAGCAAGGCCTTCTTGCTCTGGGGGGTGAGGAAGTGCTGTGGGAAGCACAGTGGCTGTGGGAATGCAGGGGAGTCACCCTATTCCCGCTTCCAACCCCCAAACCATCCTGGCCACAATCCGGGCCCACAGACACCCAGGAGGAAGTTGGCTGGCAGCAGGGTCCCCAGCCCTAGGGGAGGTGCTACAGTCTCTTGTCTACAGTGGAGGGATCACTGTGGGGGTGTGGGTGGGCATCTGAATGGTGAAGACACAGGATGCTGATTTCTTCCCTCTGGCAAATGAGGAGGAGGGTGGCAGGGCAGAGCGGTGGGCAGCCAAGGCCTGGATAGATTTCTACTGCATAATGTTTTGAGATCTCTCTTGATGCCCAGAGTTGAATTACGAAGTAAAGTAAATGAGCCCAAGACACACCTGTATCTTGTACACAGCACCCCTGTACCCTCAATGGCAGGAACAGCCAGTGAATGGCTGACCCAGCCTCCGGGGATGTGCACACAGTTTGCATACCTGGTGCTGTTAGGAAGAACTGTCCGATTAAGTAACAGACTCTGGCAGGGGTTAGGAGCTCTCCTGTGGTAGCAATCAAGCTGACAAAGGGACCCTCTTCTAAGGCTGTCCTAAGCCTAAGGTCCCCAGACAAGTGGCCCAAGGGGGTTACCTATCCTGTCCTTCCTCAGGTAACACGATGACCCTCTCTACAAGCAGGGGGAGCAAACCACATCGCAGAACGGGTGGACTCACTCTGAGGCTTAGCAATACTAGCCTCCAGCTTCTTGAGAGAAACTCTCTGGAAGCGGGGCATTCTCAGAGCCACGTGGCAACCCCTCAAAGCAGAGACAAGGCCATCAGAAGCTGTCCTCAACACTCCTCCACGACCCTGGACCCTGCCAGTCCAGCCTGAGTCCCCACCCCCAGCCAGTATCTGGCCTGGTCTGGGTCAGGAGCATCTTTGACTCAATCTCCCCACCAGACAAATGCTTTTGACCTGGCCTGACTTTGGGCCCTCTTAGCCTCTCAATGGCTCCCACGAGTGACCCTGTTAAAACTTGTAGACACTTCAGGGGTTAGGAATGGGATTCCTCCTTCAGCCCCTTCTCCTCTAAAGTTCAACCTAAGAATCTAGAAGCAGGCAGGACAGGAGGAAGAGCAAGGCACTGAGCCTGGCCTACTTGAGTGTGATTTGAGACAAAGAAAAGGAAAAGGCAAGTAGCAATGCGAGGTTAAACACTGAGAGCACTGGCAGAACCCACAAACCCAGATGCCACGTGTCTCCTCTGCTAAACACTTGCACAACAAACCAACTGCCAAGTCAGGGGCTGGAATGAGGCTTCAGCCCCAGAACTCTCCTTGGGGACAAGAACAACCCGACCATAACTCCTCCCCCACTGGGCCCCAGTGGTGAGAGCCCCAGTGGTCCCTGCCTCCCCCAGCAACAGCAGACTCCTGGGACCAGAGTCCCCGCACTGTTTCAAAGGCTTGGTTTCCGTACTAGGACCTTTCCATCTGAATAGATTCTTCAGCCCCAGCACCTGGTCTCCAGATAAGTCAGTCTCCTTCCCCCACCCCCAGCCTTTAATGAATCTTTAGTTAAATGGGAGCAAGAAGACCACAGGTGTATCCCGCATTCACAAGAGCAAATCCTTAGGACAAAGTTAATGAGGAGTTAATGAGACAATCCCTCCTGCCGAGCCGGGCAGTACCTGGCACCCTTCCCCCACCCCACCTCAACTGCTGCCTAATCCTGGCCCCTCAGCCTGGCAGTGAGCCTGCTACACTGGGGGGAAAAATAAATAAATAAGGCGGGGGGGCGGGGTTTAGTAGGGTTAGCATGACTGTGGAAAGGAGGAAAGAGGACAGAGGACCTGGCTCCACAACCCTGTCTGCTCACCTATAGGAGCAAGGCAGGTACAGCAGGGTGGATAGCCCTCTGTCACCCACAGTGCAGACACTTATGTCCATGACACTGATATATTTTGTCACACAGCCCGTGCTAGGACACTGAATTACCTACCACACAGAGCATCCAAGTGCCAGAGCCACCCTGCAGTTGCACTGATGCCAACCAGCTCAGCAGCCCAGCGCCTGGTGGGTCTGCCACCCTTGCCCAGAGATCACCATCACACACCACCAAAGGCAAACTGAAGAATTCCTAAAGTGGCTGCTGTGTTTCGCCAGCCACAAATGCACAAGAAAAGGAAAACTGAAAGTCTGGGACTTCAGGGTTTAGAAATGGTCCCCTACCTGCCAGGCACCTCCCTGAAAAGGGCAGGTAGACTGGAAGAAAAAAAATAAGGGGGGGACGCGGGTTTAGTAGGGTTAGTTAATATGACCATGGAAAGGAAAGGGGACAGAGGGCCTGGTCCACAATGCTGTCTACTCACCTACAGCAGCAAGGCAGGTAAGCAGGGTAGATAGCTCTCTGTCACCCACAGTGCAGACACTATGTCCATGACACTGACACGTTTTGTCACACAGCCTGTGCTAGGGGACTGAATCACCCGCCACACAGAGCATCCAAGTGCCAGAGCCACCCTGCAGTTGCACTGATGCCAACTAGCTCAGCAGCCCAGCGTCTGGCGGGTCTGCCACCCTTGCCCAGAGATCACTGTCAGACACCACCAGAGGCAAACTGAAGAATTCCTAAAGCGGCTACTCGGTTTTGCCAGCCACAAATGCACAGGGAAAGGAAAACTGAAAGTCTGGGACTTCAGGGTTTAGAAATGGTCCCCTACCTGCCAGGCACCTCCCTGAAAAGGGCAGGTAGACTGGAAGGGCTCTGTTTTGGTAGCACTGGGCCAGGAACCCGCTGGGTCAGTTTCTCGCCAATCTTGAGGTTTGGAAATGGATGGTGAGCTTCAGGCTGGTGTCTGCGGGCCTCAGCAGGGGCTGAGGAGGGGTTGCAGGGCAGGGATGGTTCCATGCTGCCTCAGCACAAGGGGGCTCTGATAGTAGCTGGAGCCGGCAGAGCTCTGCTAGCCTGGTCCCCAGGGAGGCTGAAGGTGACACAAGGGCCAATGCAGGACAGCTCAAGGTGCTGCCCTGCCTAGCACTTTCCAGGACTGATGTCACTTCTGGGAGGTCAAGTATGCCCCAGTGGTAGGAAATTAAACAAAGAGCCAACGTGCCCAAGATCACTCCTTTCGGCAGAAGCGAGGAGCCTCTATGCTGGTTGAGTTTACACAGAGGGTCTACGCAGTAAGAGCTTACATAGAGGGTCCTCCTCTAAGTTACAGAAGGGCTCCCTTGTCACTACCTCGAAGGATGGGCATCGTCCTGGCCAGCCAAGGCTGGCACCATGCAACATCTTACTTAGGTGGTTGATTTGGTCTGCAGAGTTATCAAGTGCATAGTGTGTGCTAGCCACTGGGGCTGGCTCTTCCTCAGTTGCCCAATGCCAGGGCCCAAAGCCAGCCTAAGGCATCCTGCCCAGCTGCAGGACAGTCAGCTTTCATCTTGGATTTTAATCCCAACTCAGGTCTGGGGCTGCAGACAGGACCAGCAGTCTGCCCTGGCATAGCTTGGTCTGAGCTGCCTGCTGGGTCAGGAACCCTCTGGCACACTGATTGGGTTGCCTGGTGCCCAGTTGGCACTGGGCCAGAAGTCATCTGGATGGTCCCTGAAGAGGCAGCCCCCAGACTCAGCAGCATCACTACCTCGCCACAACTCCGCACAAAGAAACCTCATATGGCAGATGGTGTTGAGATGACCCTCAGCAGAAAAACAGCCAGTACCGTCCACTGCATGCGGGGGTGGGGTGTCCGGGCACTGTGCGAGGACACTGAGACCCAGGAGCCCCTTGTCTAGTCTGTTCACATTCCTGCAGATATAGGCTCAGAAAGGAGCCAGGCAGAATGTACTTGCGTAGGACACAGCACCCCTCTTTCCCGAGGCAGGGACAGATGCAGAGAAAGCAGCTAGGGCTGGAGTGCGGGTAGCAACCAGCATTAATCACCGAGTTAAAGCCACTTAGAGCAGATCTGCACACATACACCAATCTCTGTCCCAGGACTCCACGGAGCAGACAGGAGCTCGAACGGCAGAGGTAGAGGCAGAGACAGCGGCCCCCAGCCCTCCCTCGGTCCCTCGAGCCCACCACCTCGAGTCCCTCCAGCCCCCCTAGCACCTTCTGGCGTAGCAGCCTGCTGCGCACGCGGCCCCAGAGCCGGGCGCCCGTGTTGGGGGGCCGCTTGCCGCCCGGCTCCTCCAGCCCATCGAGGCAGCACCGCTGCAGGGGCTCGCACACCGCCTTCAGGCTGCAGTCGGGCTGAGGCAGGACGTCGGTCATGCCAGCGGCGGCCCGGCCTGCGCGGCCGGATCCGGGCGAGGATGCGGGGAGGCGTGCGGGCAGCGCTGGACAGAAGCAGCTGTGCGGAGCGCTCAGCCCTGTGGCCGCCCGGGCTGTCACTCGAGCCGGCCGGGGCAGCGCATGGCGCGAGGCTGGGCTCGTCCTCCCCTCCGCGTCCCTCCCTCCCTCCGCGGAGACTGCAGCTCGCGGGACGCCTAGAGTGCGGGCGCCACAGACGGCCACAGGCGGCTCGAGGAACGCCCCGCCCCCACCGGAGGAGGTGACTCAAAGGAGGCGCTGGAGCTGCCCCCTCCAAAAAACCCAACCCGAGGGGTTTAACTCTTGGCAAGCTGGCGCCCCTCCCTCCAGCCCCTACTAAGTGAAGTTTGCAAGCTGCTAAACACAATCCAGTCCCTCCCCCTCTAGATCCCGGCGTTAACTCTTGCGCCACCAGGCTGCTCCCTGGGGGCCTGGGGTATCAGTGAGGCTTGGGGCCAAGCAAGAGAGGGCCTGCAGGAGCTGCATTTTGGCCCAACAGCTGCCCTCCTCCCCCGCAAAAAGCCCCTGCTGCCCTGGAGCTCTACTTCCCCTACCCCCAGCTCCTGCCCCAAGTCACTTCCCTCAGCGCCAACTCTGTGACAGGGCAAGATGCTTGCGCACGGGGACTCACAAATCTCCTCTTGTGGAGAATGTACAGAATAAAGAACATTCCTAGCGTGGCAGCCTGCTGGACTCTGGCAGCTCCAGTGGGAATCAGGCCACTGTGGGTCCTCTCCAGGGACATGAGCAAAAGCCAAAGACGAAACTGGCCATAGATGTCCAGCAGGAGGCGCTCCTCACACGGCCACTTGCAACCATGTGCACCTCACCAGAAAAGGCTTCTGCTGCCAGGAAGAAGCCTACTGGCAGAGGGGTAACTAGCCACGTGTCTGTGCTGGGCACCTTGGGAGGTAAAGAACTTGCTCTTGACCCTCAAGTCAGTGAATGTTCTAACTGAAGAGAAGGGAATCATTTCTCAAGGTAACAATTCAAGTGAAGTACAGTAGCCAGAGAAAAGAGAAAGGCCTAACCCTGAACGGTCAGGGTACACAAAGGCCAGAGGTGTCCAGGACAGCGCCCCACCACAGAGCTGGGCACCAAATGGAAGGAGACCAATTTTGCACAGTGTCAACCCTAAGCCAGGTCCCATGCACAGGGCTTTCAGATATCTGATTGCATTTAAGCCTAACAACTTTCATGACGTTGGTGTTACTGTCTCCATTTTACAGTTGTGAGAACAGGGGCTTAGGGAGGTAAAGTTCTCGCCTGAGGTCACACAGCTGCAGCTGGGGAGTGGCAGGTCCACTTCAACGCCCCTGGTGCTCACAAGCTCTGTGCCTTGCCGAAGTGTGGAGGGTGTTTTGGATTCAGGAAAAAGAGCTGGGTCAGGACATTTCTTGGTTGACCCCAGAGCAGGTGGGTCAGGGCACAGTGACCAGTCCTTGGCACTGGAATGCTCCTGCTGAGTCTCAACAGCAGATAGTTCTCAGGGTTTTAAATCAGAGCCCTGGCAGTTTTTGAGAGAGGCACATCATTACTGCAGAGATGGCCAAGAACTGGTCATAATTAGAGCTGCCCTTTATTGAGTGTTTAGTACCATGCTAACTCTTCACATGGATTAAACTTGACGAAGAAAGTACAAGCACCCCACTTTACATTTGAGGAAACCAAAAACATTGAGAAGTTAAGCAACTTGCCCGAGGCCAGGATGGGCTGGGACACGAAGGAGGTCTGGCTAATGCCAAAGCCTATGCCCCATCACTGTGACACCTGCTGAAGCAGGGTCTGGGCCTGTACTGCCTTCTGCCTGGCAGGTGGAGGTAGGGCACTGTGGAGTCCTGCCTGGGGCCTGTGTTCTGGGTGTCCCTGCAGGGCAGCTGGGCCAGCCCCACCTCTTCCAGGGTTCCACAACCCCTCCTGCACAGTGCACATGGGTCTAGGCTGCCAAGGCCACACAGAGCCTCCTTATACCTGAGCCAACGCTGCCCAAAGCCACTGCAGCTGAACGGAGGCTGAGGCACAACAGCTTTGACAGCACCCCTGCAGGGGAGGGGAAGACACTGACAGAGGTAGGGACACACCTGTGTCCCCTGGCCAACTGAGGCCTGGTCGCCTTTCCTGACCCATCCCTCACTTGCCTCTTCCAGGGCACCTGGGTGCTACCTCCACAGAGATCTTCCTCTGGTCCCATGAGGGACCAGGCAACTCACTCACCATGGCTACCACAAAATCCGTTTCCTCCAGGGAGGCTTTGCTCATTCCTGCAGTCTTCATCTTTCCATCTCATTCATTTCATATAAGAGCCAGTGACTGAGGGCCTGGCTGTGAGCCCAACTGTGGGGTAATCCGCTGAGGAATCACAGAGATGAAGCAAAAGCCAATGCTTGACAAAGCTGCCAGCCCAAGAGAGGAGAGGAGATGTGGACTTCTCAAGAGGAGGGAGAAAGACATTCATGCATTTGGCATGTAATAACTGTGTACCTACTATGTGTCACACCCAGATGAACAAAGCATCGTCTTTGAACTCAGGAAACCCAGTATTATGCTAGCAGGACAGCAAAGATAAAGTGTCATGAAAGTCAAGAGAAAGAGAATATTTCTAGCCAGAGGGAATCAGGGAAGTCTTCGTGGAGGAGATGGGCTTAGTGTGGGGCCCCCAGAGCTGCGGGGAAAGGCCATCCACCCTTGCTGGGCCCCAGCTTTCCTCTGCATCCCTTCAGCAAATGTGCAGTTGCTGGTTGTATAACCGGCTGGGAAGGTGCCGTTATAATTGCTCAGTACGTTCTCCTGCTGCAGACATGCTTGGCACTGGCCGGTTAACTTCAGAACTGGCCCCTCACTGGCCCTTTAGCTGGGTCACATGCCACAGGGTGCAGTCTGGGGGAATGGTGTGCCCCTCCCCACTGCCGGTATGTGGGAGAAGGGGGGCAGCACAAATCCTGTTCCCAAAGCCCTACACTTGTCTGTCTTAGGAACCCAGGCTCAACACTTGTCTGGGTAAAGCAAGCTCTGATTTGATGAACAGTGGCCAACTGGTCTCCATGGTGACATAAGCGCCTTAGCAGATGGGTAGCCTAGTTGGGAGGCTCTTCCCTTGAGATGCTCATCTTTCCCTTCCTCCCCATGGACTGGGGGCTTCCTCTGGGGACAGCACAGATTTGCCTTCTTTCCCAAGCCTGACTCATTCCTTCCTGGAATCAATGGCCTTGGAGTAGGTTGGAGGAGAATTTGTGCAAGACAGCAATCTGAATTCTAGTCCCTCCACCCACCACAGACCCTTCCTCCTCTCTGCTGGATGGGCTAGGCTCAGGCTATCCCGGCCACCCAGGAAGTGACTGCACCCCCCCTCCCTGTGTCCACCCCTGCCATCCAGCCACACCTGGAAGAGCCTGCCTCTGAGGACATGCAAGGGCCCCCTGTCTGGATAAACAGAGCCTGGGTGGTAAGGCCCCCACAAACAGATGTCACTGCCTTTGGAATTAAAAACATTCCTAGTAGACTGTCCTATCTTCCCTCATCCCCTCCTCCCAGGCTCTCTGCCAGAGGAATGAGAGGGCTGCCCCTAGGGAGATGTGTGTGGGACCCCAGGTCATACCTAGGGAGGGGGAAACCTCCACCCAGCGCAGTTATGATTGAGGTAAAATCAGGTTAAAGTCATCAGCAGTGGCATCACTGAGGGAAAAAAGGTCAACAGGGAATAATATACATCTTGAGATCTTGAGACCTGTGGGCGGGAGAGGCAGGGACTGCCACAGTGCTGCCTTGGTGACAGCTGGGGCTGGGGACAGTTCCCAGGCAAATCCTTCCGCCTGTGGACACAAGGAGGAAGCTTCTTTCTCAGAACCTTGGGATACAGCTGCCGCTTCTCTGGAGTGACCTCCTTTTTCCCACTCGAAAAACTTTCATCTTCCCCCCAGCCTAGACTAGAACCCGATTTCCTGTCCCTATCCTCTGGCTCAAATGAATGTAAGCCAGGAAAGGGGGTTTCTGAGCAGCCAGCTAGACCAAGGCCACAGGCACACCAGCAGGGACAGCCCAGGAGGGGAGAACCCCAATAGGCCACCCAGAGAGTCCCAGGTGCTGGAGCAGGGGCCCAAGAGGAGCCTGGAATCCAGCCGAGGATGAGGACCAGGAGGGATATGGCTGGTTCTGCCAAGAACACTCCTTCTCAGCCCCAGAGGAGCACAGCACGGGGAGGGCCCCAGAGGACAGTTTTGAGAGGCCAGATACTGGTGGAAAGTGATGTGGGGCCTGAGGTTATAAGGCTGCAGAAAGGAAACCCGGGAGGGGTTTCTGCCCAAAGACAGGCACAGGAGCCTCGGATGAGACAGCAGGGGACAGCAGGGCAGTGTAGAGACCAGTGCCACAGAGGGGAGGGAGCGAGGGGGAGGAGGATGGCCCATGACAGGGAGGACCACGGGGAGATGGGGGTGGGAGTGTCTCCTAACATTAATGGTTCTCTCGTCTTTACATCCCTATTGTGTGTTCTAACTTTTTCTGTACCTACCCTAACCAACTATGGGCTGGGAGGGCAGAGGTCTTCCTAGAGTGAGACACTGAGGCCCATTTATACGGACATCTTCTGAATATCTGCAACATTCAAGGCCTGCATTAGGCCCAGTTGGGGGAACAACTTGCTCAAAGTTGCCAAGCAGCCAGTGGTAGAGCTGAGCCTAGAAGCTACATTTTCATTCACTCACTCATCTGTTCATCACTGAATTGATACCCACTACGTGCCAGGCAGGGAGGCCCCTGTACAGCTCACAGTTAACTCAGATAAACTGAGTGAGCCCCACACACCCCACCGCATCAGTGACCCTCACCTTCAAGGAGATAACTGGACAGCAACAGGGGGCTCTTTCAGGAAGTCTAGGCCCAAGTCCCTGGAACCCCCCAGGGGTCTGGTCCCTGCTAATACAGCTGTGCATAAGGTTGCAGCAATATGAACTCTCGAACCTCAACTCTTTGTGGATAAAGGGCCATTGATGGTTATAGACAGACAGGCTGGGGCTGGGGAGCAGGTTCCAGGGTGAGCTCAAGGTTTACGATGTGCACAGTGTAAGGAAAGGAGGCAGCCAGATCAAAATTTAGTTGTTCCACGGCCCAGACCAAGAGTGCCTGAGGTAACCTGCTGTCCTCCCATCTCCCCAGATGCCTGTGCTGGTTAAGGGGACAGTCCAAAGGGCGTGCTATTTCCTACACAGCTCCATTCTCCACTCTGCCTAGCCACCTCAGGCTGGTGTCTCAAGGGTGCTTGGTGGCTACAGGTGGATAGGAGAGGCTGAAATAGCCCACGAGCTTGTCTGCTGCTGAAGAACTGTCCTGAAAGCACCTCCCTGGCAACCCCTAGTGATTCTCACCCACATTTGGTCAAGGAAAAGGGTGGAAAATCCACTTGAGCCTTTGGAAACATCTTGCTTACCTAGAACACCCAGGGACAGCGTGGGCAGCATGCCCCCACACACCCATCTACTCCTTCCCTACCCCAGGACACAAGTCACGGCCAGGAGCATGCCCAGACCCCCTTGGCCACTTGTCTGCCCCTCCTCACAGGAGGGAGGGTGGGGTGGCCGGGGTCTCCCAGCACAGCCAGTGGGAAGAAGACCCCAGGGGGTGTGCTCTGGACACCCAGGGCCTCCTGGGCCACACACTGAAGACATGAAAGACTCGGGAGGAGGGGCCAAAGCCTGAAACTAGGTCAGGGTCTTCTGAGCCTCCCTGTGCTTTTCCCCTCCTCTGCTATTGAGTAACTCCCTTCCACCCCACTCTGAGCTCAAAGTGACCAGAAGAAAGCCCTGGGGAGCCTGGACACCTGGGCTGCGTCCTGCCTGGTTACTGTGGACTCAGCAGCCACTTTCTCTCTCTGGGCCGTTTCCTGTCATATTGGGAGCTTGGACCAGACAAATGGTCTTCAGTGAATTTTTTTATTTTTAGCTGAAGAACACCCCCCCACACACACATTCATTTTTCTTCCAAATGAATTCTTCTGCTGAAGTTTCCCTGCCCCCAGATAAAAGCAGAAGCAGAGAGCAGAGGCCCTGGCTGGAGTGGGGACATGGGACCTACCTGCTGACACCTCCTTTAGCCTGTCTGGGGGATCTTCAAGTCCCTCCCGGCAATTCCCAAGCTCTGCAGGCAGAATTTGAAGCCTGCTGATCTCCTTTCAAGCATCCTATGACTTAAACCTCAAGTTCTGCAGGTGGGCTCAGGGCACTTCCGACAGACAGTTCTCACGAGAATGCTGTTTCTCTTCACCATGGCCGTGGGCCTTGCTCTCCCTCAGAGTGGGGGAGCTGTGGAGGTCAGGGAGATTAGGGGCTTTTTAGGGAAGCTTCCAGGTCAAAGTCCTGGATATGGAACTCATCTTATCTCCACTTCTCACGCTGCACTGAGAAAACCCTAGGCTTCTGCTTTGCTGGTGTGAGTTCCCCTTGGTGACCTTACAATGGGATGACACTTATCTAGCCAGTCACCTTTGTTCTCAAGTCACTCTGGGTCATCTTCATTCTCAAGTCACTCTGGGGTCTGCCTCAAAGCAGCTTAGCTTTTGCCTCCAAGGGTAGGAGCAGGCTGTGTCCAGCCCTCCCTGTCCCAGCCCATGGGGTGCAGGCTGGCTGGGTGTTAGACCCTCCCCCAGTAGCACCCTGGCCCACCCGCTCAGTGCATGGCAGAGGCTAGGCTGGCTGTTGGGAGCTGCTGGGGATTTTGCAGCCACTGCATGCTTGAGAGAGGCCAGCAGGACCCACCCTAAGGTGACCCCTTGTTGGTATTCACATGCAGCCTCAGCCCCAATTCAGGGAGTTCCCTGGCGATTCTTCTGCTAAGTCTTTCTCTCAAAACTTTTGGAAAAAGTCAACAGTGGGACCACCCTAGGGACCAGTTCGTTGGATTCCCAGGAAGATGAAGCAGCAGCCTCCGCCTGCAGGGAGGTCAGCGGCTCCCAGAGCACAAGGTGCGTCTGCTGCCTTCACGTCCCTGGACTCACTTCATCCCAGGCAGGCTCGAGAGGACAGGCTCTCATGGGTCACCCAAGGCTGGCCAACCAGGATCAGCCCTGGGTCTTCTACCTCTGAGCCTGGGAGCCCCCCATCTCAGAGCTGAGAGGAGAGCACCCTTCTTCTGTTTCAGGGGCTGGATGTTCTCAGGGCCCGAATGAATCTGCTCCCAAGGTGCTCTCTGGGTCAGCTTCTCTGCTTGTTGCGCACCCCTTGGAGGTGGGCCTGGGGGAGCGGGCACCAAGCCTGCCTGCCAAGGTGGCATTCCCAAATGGGGGAGGTGGGCAGGAGGGAGACTCAGCCTCCATCTGCCTCCCATTGAGTCCTCCCTGTCTCCATAACCCACTGCGCAGAGTCCAGACTCCCCAAACCAGGAACACCTGGGGCATGGAGGAGGCTGAGCAGGGTGAGACATTTGGAAAAGCCTTCGGACAGCAGGGCGGTCACTCTCGCGGGATCCTGCCCCTGGCTTTTCCCCCACCAAGGACAAGTGTTCTGCCGCCCGCTCTCCAAGGGTTACCAAGGAGTCCAGACCCGCCTTGAAGAGCGACAGCAGGTGGGACACTGTGTGGGAGGACAAACAGGTCTGAGACATCTGGAATAGGTGGGGCCAGGGAAGGACAATGGCTCCACTCACCGGGCCCTGGAGGAGGTGGTATCTGAGGCAGGGAGCAGAACCAGGCCTGGTGCTCAACCTCCTGGCCCCACACACCTCCAGGACTGGCATAGTGGCGGTGGTGGCCACAAGGGAGGAGCCCCACATGGGCTGGCTCTGTGGGCAGCAGGCAGCAAGGATACAAAACACAGACTCCAGAGGCAGACACTGCCCTGCACATGCATATCTGGCCCAGGCTGGGGCAGGGAAGGGATCCTTGTTCCAGGGAAAAGGCCACACAGGCGTCCAGGGACAAGGAGCTGCCTGGGGCTGTGAGGTATGCTGGGACAGGGGCTTGGGGGACTGGGGTGGTGGAATGAAAGGTAAGGATCAACTTCCTTGCAGCAACCTGCTCTGCCCTCCACCCCAGTCAAAACAAGGCCTCTGCAAGGACCTGGGCCCCAGCTGTGGTCAATGTGGCCCATAAACAAGGGCCTGAACGATGAATGAGAGAAGGCATCGAGGATCCATGCTAATGGACCTCTGTCGTCCACCCACAGAGGGGCCCAGGCATCTCCTGGTATGACCTGCAAAGAACCAGGATGGGCCAGAGCTGGAAGGGGCTCTGGGTCACCTAGGCCAATATCCCAGAGCCCAGGCTTTCAGGGCAATAAGAGCTGGCCCGTGTGACCTTCAGGCACAGTCAAACGGGGACAACAGACCCCTCAGGGGCCAGAGGGAGGGACCTGGGGCGAGGGAGCCCTTGATTCCTGCCCTAGCAGACTCCTGACCCACACTCACTCCAAGTTTCCTCATGCTCTGCAGAGTAATTGAAACCAGAAGCAGCTCCCCAGGCAGCTGACAAAGGCCCCTTGTTCCCGGGCTCCTCACTTCCTCTGCGCTCTGGGCCTGACCACACCAAGCCAGGATGAAAGCCATTGCCAGCGGGAGGAGCCCCGAGCTGCCCCGCCCGGGGGTCGCGGCAGGGAAACCTCAGGCGGTGAGGCCCCAACGATGTCTTCCCTGTCCACTCTGGGGTCAGTTCACCAAAGCTGGCTCTGACTCCATCAGCTTAAGAAAACAGAGGCAGCCTCAGTTATCAAAGGCCAAAACACTGGGGTCACTCGCAGGTGACAGCCTTTAGGAGGGGGACTGCTTGACAAGATACACTCAGAATCCCTGGAGCAAGGTGGGGGACAGGGTACCTGAACCTGCCACCTTAGTGCAAAGGGTCCTTGTCATTAAACAAGTACTGACTCTGCCTGGCTGCTCACATTCAGTCCTCATTAGAGCTCATTTTATAGGTGAGGAAACTGAAGCTCAGAGAGGTTGTTCTCCCAACTAACAAATGGAGAAAGCTAGACTCTGAGCCCAGGATCTGTCTGGCCTCAAAGGCCCTTCAGTGCAGGCTGAATGATCAAGATCCTCTTCCGTTTTCTCTACTGGATGGTGAGGTCCCGTTCTTTGTCTGTATCCACAGCACAGTGCCTGCCATTTAGAGGGCACTCGATAAACAGAAATGAATGAATAAACTAGTGGAAGCATGGAGTGTTCCAGCTCTGACCAACTCTTTCGGGTACGTTCCATCCTTGGAACCTCACAATAAGCCAGTGATGAGGGCAGAGTGGAAGCAGTTATCCCCATTTAATAGAAGAAGAAACTGAGGGTCTAAGAGGTCAAGACCAGGAACTGGTCTTCTGATCCTCAGTGCAGTGCTCTTCCCACAGCATCAGGGTAACCGCGCTCCACACTCAGCACATCTAAGCCATTGACCCAGGGGAGGACAAACAGGAGACCCAAGGAAAGAAAAGTCAAGGAACTGGGGACACCTAACCTGGGCGAAAGGAGGCCAGAGTGTCTCAACTGTTTCCTCAACTATACGAGGCTAATAGTGGCCAGTTGTCTCTGGGGTCATTGGGCCCTGCTCTCTTATTATAGTTGAGAGTGACAAACATATGTGGAGTGGGAGAGGGGAGACCAAAAAATCTCCATCCTCAGAGACTATGCTCTTTCTCTCACCAAAAAGCAAGAAGACCTAAGGTACAAACAAATGGCCATCGATGGATGTATGGATAAACAAAATGTGGTATACACACACAATGGAATATTATTCAGCCTCGAAAAGAAAGGAAATTCTGACACATGCTACAACAAAGATAAAGCTTGAGGACATTATGCTAAGTGAAATCAGCCAGTCACGAAAGGGCAAATATTATTCTACTTATATAAGGTTTCTAGAGAAGTCAAATTGATAGACACAGAAAAAAGAATGGTGGTTGCCAGGGGCTGGGGGGAGAGGGAACTGGAAGTTATTATTCAATAGGTACGGAGTTTCAGTTGGGGAAGATGAAAAAGTTCTAGAGATGGATATTGGCGACTGTTGCACAACTATGTGGATTTACCAAATGCCGCGAACTATACACCTAAAAATGATTAAAATGGTAAATTTTGTTATATCAATTTTGCCATAATTTTAAAAAAAAGGAATAAAAAGATAGAAATTGTTGGATTTGCCAGTCTGGGCTCAGTGGACATTCCCAGTCATGGAGGCCAGGAACTGAGCTTCATTTATAATAGCTCTGATCTCTCACAGGCTTCCAAGTGGCCAGGTTAAGAACGCCAGAGAAATTACCCACCCCCTTCCTGCCCCATCGCCCCACCACCTTTCCCCTCTGAGGCAGGCTCCAAGCTTTGGAAAGGAAGAGGATGCATGGGAGGCATCTCATGCAGCCTGAACTCTGCTGTCAGGGGTGAGGGTGAGTTACCGCCCCAGGCATAGGGACAGCTGGGGCTTCCTTCTCTGCAGGGAACCCTGCCCCAGGGTCTTGGGGGCCCAGGAAGGCTTCCCTGGCAGGCTTATGGGAAAGTGAAGCTGCCTCCTACAGAGCGGGTGCAGAGGTGAGGGGGGAGGAGCGGGGGAGAGGGCAGGCGAGGGCAGAGGCAATCCTCTGGCTTAGGTCGCTCCTTGATCTCGGGCCCCTCTCCAGTGTGGGTCAGTGGCAGGAACTGAGCTGTGGAGCCCTGAAGGAAAGCTCTCTGCTCTGCCCCAGCCAACCAAGAAGGGCTGGACCCTGGGAATATGCTAATCAGCCAGTGGGTAGGTCCCAGATGGGGGACAGCACATCTGGAGCCTGGAGCAGCATGGCTGGAAATAGACTAGGATAAACATACAGGAGTCTCCTGGGACCAGGGAGCCAAGGCAGACTAAGGGGGACGGGGGCTCCTGGCTGAGCTGTTACCCCGGCCTGGCCAGGCTGCGGGTGGGGCAGCAAGGAAGGGGTGGGCAGTAGGGGGTGGCTGGATTGAGAATCTAGAGGTAATGCCCCTTAGGTATGGAAAAGAAAGGGAGGACTTCTGAGCCTAGAAGAGGAGAAACAGACCACTTCTAAACTTGCAGTGCCCAAGGACAGACCCCCGAGAGTCACAGACTGACAGCCAAGCCTGTCCCTGCCCCATCTGTGAGCATTTCTACTCACTCATTTGCCTGGCAGCTGACTAAGCACAACCAGCCGGGGATGAGGTCCCTGAATCTGGAGCCCTTGCTCAACCACTCCTGAGCTGTGTGACTGCAGCCTGGTCTCTCCCCTTTCTGGTCTTGGTTTCCTTCTCCCCACAGCAGGATGGACTGAGTGCCTTCTAGGATTCCTAAAGCCCTGCTAGTCCTCTTCCTTTACTCACTTCTTCAAACTCCCTCCCCTCCTTGCACTGCTCATGACGCCTCCTGCTCAGGGCAGGCTGGGCTCCTGAATTTCTGGGGACACTCCCTGCGCATTCCTGCCTCCCAGCCCTTGGCCGGTGCGGGTACTTCCCCCAGAATGCCCT